GATATTTTCAAAATGTTCATTTTCTTCTTGAGAAGGTTGAACTTCTTTGGCATCACAAACTACAACTTGTTGTTTAAATTTTCTTGGTTTCAAATCTCTTGAACCAAGTGGTCTACCACGTTTTTTACGTATCATAGATTCATTAGCAAGTGTTCTTTCGCTAATCTCCGCATGAATTTCTATTCGAGAAGGAGCATTCATAGCTGGAACATGTGACTTTGTTACTTTCTTTGAGTCTGTGAAAGCATCAGGCAATTGGTTTGCAACATTTTGTAAATGAATAATCTTTTGAATTTCTTGTTCACAAGCATTTGTGCGAGAATCAAGAAAAGATAAATTTGTTGCATTCCAAGTAATATCTTTCGTACGTGGGTCCATTTCTTTAATATCTCCCCCTAAGGTTGGGAATACTGTCTCATCAAAATGACAGTCATCGAACCGCGCGGTGAATAAGTCACCGGTCATAGGTTCTAGATAATTAATAATTGAGGGTGATTTAAAACCAACATAAATTCTCAGCCTTCTTTGAGGACCCATTTTAGTACGATAAGGTGGAGCAATTGGTACATACACAGAACAACCAAATATTTTTAGGTGTGATATATTTGGTTCTTTACCAGATATTAATTGTAATTGGGAAAATTTATGATATGCCGTTGGCCTAAGCCGAATTAAATTTGCAGCATGCATTATAGCATATCCCCATGCAGATGATGGTAATCTGGATTTCATCAATAATGGTCTAGCAATTAATTGTAATCGCTTAATTAAGGATTCGGCAAGACCATTTTGTGTATGTACATGTGGAACTGGATGTTCCACATCAATCCCAATTGACATGCAATAGTCATTAAAAGATTGGGATGTAAATTCTCCTGCATTATCAAGTCGGATTTTCTTTATCGAATAATCCGGAAATTGTGATCTCAAACGAATAATTTGAGCAAGAAGATTTGCAAATGCAAAATTTCTAGTCGATAAAAGACTGACATGTGACCAACGTGTTGATGCATCAATGAGCACCATAAAATATCGAAACGGTCCACACGGAGGGGTAATTGGCCCACAAATATCTCCTTGAATTCTTTCTAAAAATGCAGGAGATTCAACTCCAATTTTGTATAAAGATGGCCTGATAATTAATTTGCCAAGAGAACAGGCAGTGCACGGAAAATCACTTGATTGTGGAATCTTGTCATTAGTTAATGAATTTCCACGTGAATTTTCAATAATTTTGTGCATCATAGTGCTGCCTGGATGACCTAAACGGTCATGCCACAAGATAAAGGAATTGTGGTCATAAATTTTAGATACCACATTTATCTCAATTGGACTGATATATGTATAATACAGTCCCGAGGAATATGCTGGCATTTTTTCAGAAATGTATTTATTGCCAGATCTATTTGTCGTTAGACATAAATATTCCTTCTGATTTTCAGACATGGTTTCAATATGAAAACCATTTAGACGCAAATCTTTAAAGCTCAAAAGATTTCTCCGTGATTTACGGGAGTATAAAGCGTCTTTAATTATTAATTTTGTCCTTTTTGGGAGAATCACACAGGCTATTCCAGAACCTTCAATGAGTTTAGCAACACCTGAGATTGTATTGACATTAGCATCAACTAATGTCATATGAGAAAAATAATCTCTATGTCTCAAAATGGTGTGCGTTGTGGCACTGTCTATTAGACATTGTTCAGAGCCACTTGGAGAAATTTTAGTTAACTCCATATCTTCGCGAAGATAAAAATGAACAAATATTAGTTCAATATTGTAATATAAAGTGTACTTCACTTAATAGTACATTTAATTGTGCATAATTTTCACGTTAAAAATAAGCACTATAAAATTTTATTTTGAAATATACTCCCGTCAAGGAGAAAATAAAGTGAGGTACTATATTCTGACTTTTAATAAGAGAAGTAATTAAGATGACATATTTACTTCTTATTAATTCAATTCTACCTCATCATTTTGGGTCAAAAACAATCATGAGTGTTGTTATATATAGGGGGTTATTCCCGGTTTCGACAGAAACGTACATAATAACCGTTTGGATGAAGTTACTGTCATACCAATTGTTAAGGGGTCCATCTTAACAATAAGAGACCTTGCAACTTGATAACCAAAGGTCCCTAAAGTACAAAACTTATGTTGATAGTTTTTCGTTGAAAGATTGTTTTGATGAAAAACCCTAATGAAAGGTATTTTATAGTTTAGTAACTAAATCGCTTTGATGGATAAATTGTTGTCTTGGATTTAACAATATACATACTCGGTATTACACAACAGTCCATTTCTCAAGTAATTTTAGTTCATCCGTTTTTTAAACTTTAACGAGATGGAACAACATGCTGTTTTTGGGTTCACTTTCGGTGAATGAAAACCAAATAAGGGAGTAATAATAAACATCCATAATGTCAAGACAAGTCCAAAATTATTGATGTCTTAGTTCGGAGTAGTCAATACATATACATACATGCTATGTACTCCGTATTATATAAACTCATAACTCAATTTAGTATAATTACTATAAACATACATATTGGGAATTTTGAAACAAAACAAATTAAACCCATCAAGGAAGATTTTATTGCTCCATACGTATAGTAGTATTATTTAAAGACTAACAAAGCAGTACTCCGTATAAATTAGTTTTATTTGTAGGTAAAAGAAATTTGAATTAGGACCCACTTCAAAGATATAATGGCTATGTAAATTAATGATCATGTGATGTGTCATACACTCTGCATTGTACTACATATGAGAACAAAAAAAAATGTCTAATATGCAGTAATGTTACAGACCCGTGAGTTGGTTTCATGGATATATATTACATATACTGCGTATTATCTTCGATCCTCACATACATATATTTATTATACTAGTATCAATTATGTGAGTGTCTTCACAAAGGAAGGAGACAAGTAAAATAAATGCTCTTATCTACTTGTATGGACCGTGACTGACTACCAGCTATATTTGTTTATACATCAATTCAATGATGTTCGAATATATAGCAAGCAACTTTCTAATTTTCTCTCATCACCTCTCTTCTTCTTACTTTATATATATATATATATAATTTTTTAATACTTCGTATGCTTAAGCTCATACATGAGCTGTCTCCACACATATGAGTATATGACATATGGAGTAATAAGCATACGGAGTACGTGTATAAAAGTAGATGCATATCTATGGTTCTTATCAACAGTTCATGTTATCTTTTGTAAAATACGCAAGTGCTATTTTCTTCTTCTTTGTAGTTTAGAATTTCCGAGACATGAGATAGTAAAGAGCAAAAGGAGTTGGAGAAAAAAAAACAGATACTTCACAGTTCGAACTCCATATTTTACAAGGTAAGTTTTATTTCTTCATTAATCCAATAAATAATACTACCTCCTAAACATCATATTATCATATATGAAGTATATATATTTATATATATACATATTTAAGTGAGAATCAAGACGTGATGTAAATTCATCATATCCGGAAGTAAAAGTTAAGATTTTAATCAAGGAGTAGTATATTTAAAAATAATACTGATTAAATGTATGTTTAATTGTTTATCCTTTTTCCCTTCATCTTTGTTTAGAGAAAATATATCTATAATTTTCTGATATGGAGGATCCCTATTCTTGGGCAACCATAGAGCATACTTCTTATAGTTTTGAATATATATAAGCATGGTCATACTTCTCAACCTCTGTTTTTCTTTTCAGGTGAATTGATAAATTCCAGAAAGTATATACCTGCTAGGAAGATGGTGATTTCAGGGATTTGGAGCAAATTCGTGCTGATAACGTGTTATAATATGGAAGGAAATAAGCAGAAGATCAGGGAGAGAAATATAGTCTGAATACTTAGTGAGAAAGATGTTATTAGAAGTGTGATAATGGTGTTTAAGAAGTGTGTTAATTACAATGGAGAAGCCTCCTATTTATAGGAGAAAAGTTAAGCTTCATAGGATTAGAGGATAATTGTGAACCACACAATTATCATCTAGAATCATAATTATGATTTCCTGATTATTTATGTAATGGTGATTATTTACCCCCTACCTTACCTCCCAAAGGTACAAAAACCAAAACTGCGCACACTTGAAGCCGGGGAGGATTTTGAAGTCGGGGAGGACTTAGAAAGGGGCAGAGCCTGAGAGTCCCGCATGAAGGACCAAAGGAGAGAGCGAGCGCCCCCAACCAGGCTATGTGGTGCCCACAAAAGAGTGAGCCTCATGACATCTACATTCCGAAAATAGACACTCGACCTGGATGGAAGTCAAACAGTCTTGCCATTTGTGCATGTGGTGCTAAGAGCAGTACAGCCCACGCCAAGGTAATTGGAGGGAAACGTTAAATAGGAGGGAAGAACATTTTAATTCAAAGGATATGACAGGATTTGGCAATGGGGTGGCTCCGCCAATAGAAAGGAGGCACATCATCGAACACAACTACCCGGACTTGCTATAAATACCTCCTCATAACTCGGAATATAAAAGGGGTTGGTTTCCAGCATTCAACAGGATTTAATATCCTTTAATGTAAACCAAGGATAGAGCAAAGGCACTGAGCCGATACAGACAGAGATTTTGTTATGGAAAAAAAATTACAATAATTTTTTTACCTTAACAATTAAAGAATTTTTAAAATTACGAGTGAGCCAAGGCCTAGGTTGGCCACCCTCTAGCTCTGCCCCTGATGTAAACACTACGATAGCGATTGATAAAGCAAAATACGTCTTGATCGTGCATTCAACTTATATTTCTGAACATCCCGAGTCACTAATCACGAAAGGCATCGTGTTAGACCTTTTGGTTGAGGGAATTAACCTCAACAACCATTTTACCCAGAATAGAACCATGCACGCTCCATGGTGAATACCTGGAAGTCAATTAAGCATTGACCAATTTACTGCCCAAGCATAACTTGTTGCTGCCCTGCCATTAAACCAGCATAGTAAGAAGTGCAAAACATGGTAGAAACACACAATCGCCTTGTCTTTTTATTTACTCAAATATTAGAGAGAAGTAGAAATTACACATTGCTCGAGCTGTAGAAAATCTGTTCATGGAGAGGCTACTTTTATTAGGGTGAGCATAGGGTATGTGAGCGAATTACAATTACAGGTCAAATGTGGATATGAGCCAACCAGCCTTCTAACTCTAAGGGTGGCCAGTAATTTAATTATTGTTGTTGAAGTTTTAAAAAGCACATGTATCTATCAAACCATCACATCCCCACAGGGTTAATGGTAATGCACGTCCATTATCTGTTAGATAAGATCCTCAAAAGTCTAATCCCCGGAAAAAATCAACATAAGAACCTTGTCCGCTGCATCCAACAAGAACACATGTTAATTAAAAATCCATTGGCCTTCACTGCTCAACATACTTGTACATGTAAGAGAAATTCAGAAGCTTAAATTATTAACGCCATTATGGATCTTCTGGGTCACATAATAAAATAGATATGCTTTATGTATGGGGACATTTATATGGAACTGCATCACAAGTAGTTATGTTTCCCATGTACTAAGTTTCAACAACAGTGGCAAAGTTTTATAGTGGATGACCTTTTATGGCCACCTTATTCAAAAGGAGGCGAAATAACAGATGAAATCGCAAATGAAGTTGTTATCATAGATTTTTTCCCACTTGCACGAGAAATAATAGGATTCGAATGACAAATGAGTTGGGGCAGCCATCATGAATTAATTCGGGAGCGCATTCAAATTAATTCGAGAACGCAAAAATGCACAGTTATCTTCAAGAATTAATTTAAATGTGTTCCTGATTGAATTTTTAGCTGAAATTTGGTATGAGTAAACTAGACTTGGCGAATAAGATGCTCAAAAAAATTCATCAAAAAATTCCACCGGGAACCGCCCCAAATCGCGACGACCGGACAGAGTCTCCTATAGAAGGACTTAATTGACTTTTTTATGAAAGTTCGAGGACCTATTTGACAGTTTTCCCAATAAAATTCAACTATATGTACGTCCAAAATCATATGTTCCTCAAAAAAAAAGTATTAAGACACAAGGTTTTAATCTAAACAACTAATGACCAAAAGCATAATCTCATTTTTTTCAGGGTTCACATACTTGAATTCGGGATTCTCGTATATTCTCCAGCAACTCTGTAATTTCAACCTGCTTCATTGACGTGCTATGCAGCACCTGTCGATTACATAAACATCATCATTATCATCAACTGGCCCACAGAACTAAACATGAAACATGATATATACATGTAGATCAAGAATTCTTACTCTCTTTGTCTTTTCTAGATCACATTCTACAGACTTGATCCTGTCTAAGGATTGGTTCAACATATGCTCCTTCTCCAATGGCATCTCAGGAGGCTTCTTACGTAGCTCTTCGATTAATTGTTCAAGCCTCTGAAGGCGTTGAATACACGGATGGGGCTGGTCTTCTTCACTATTAGCATTGTTATGGCTGCTAGGTGAATAACCATCATGATTCTCTTCCAATGCAATGGAAGGATATATGCCAGTCTGTCTTCTCCAGGCCTCAAAAGGAAGAGTCCTGATAATTGCAAACAGTTTGAGTGCCAAAGATATCACTGTTCTTGTCAGATGGATGAAACATCTCCTTACAAGCCTCTCTTTGCTGGACTCTGGACCATATATAAATCATCAAGTACAGAATTTACTACTGATATTTACACTCTTGAGCTACAAAGGTGAACTAAATTCAGCTTACATCAACGAATACCTTAATTAAGGGCATCCAAATTCATTACTTAAAAGTAGGGATCCACAACAGGCTGGGTTGGGTCATTATCAACTAGGCCCTGCCTATTAAGTTGTGTCTAACAGGTTGGACCAGCCTTGCCCAGAGCCAGCTATAAGGGTTGTCCCTAGATGGGATCTACACATGCAAAAGATATTGGACCAAGGCTTGGATGTTGTAGATATTTTGGCTTGAAAATATGATGGAATAAAGCAAGATGACTCACTAAACTGTCTGCACTTCTTTGTTATGAAGCAGCGGCCAATCCATGCCATTTTGGATGCGATTCTCACTATGGGTCATCCGGACCAAGGCTTGGATGTTATGCGATTCTCTCTGTGCTTTAGTACAGGGGTAAGAATGCGTACGTCCAAACCCCCCTTATCCCACCGTAGGTGGGAGCCTTTGCGGCACCGGGGTAAATGAGCCTTTGCGTACATCCAAACCCCCCTCTATTATCAACTCAAAATATCTACAACATCCAAGCCTTGTTCCAATATCTTTTGGATACAAAGAGATCGATTGTCCTCATGAATATCCTCCCTCCACTTCGCTCTCTCCAAAATATCAAACACAAAAAATGAAATAAAAAATAAAAAACTGACCATAAAATTCAACAGCCACTGTAATTTTATTATTCTGTATATAAGAGGTCCTGGGCTAGCAAGATTAGATCATAGAAGTAAGCAATAGAGGGACAGTATACAAATTTAATACATATTCAGAAAAATGTCAAAATGGTACATCAACCGGTCTCCTCTAGCATAAAGAGCACTGTTGCACTTGTCAATTCCGGATAGCAGAGCAGCCTACCCCGAAAACGCTATAGTCATATAGAGGAAAGGTTATGACCGCTATTGGGATAACATTTATACAGAATACAAGATTATATGTATACATATAATTACATACAGTAGGCTCCACACTAAACAAACTTCGAGACTAGAGGTAGATGACTTGGAAGAGTTGAAAGTAGAAGAACAGTAGTAGTCGAAAGTATTGACCCGAAGCAAGGTCTCTCTGGCTGTCGTCAAATATTTTCTGTTTGAAATTAGTATTTTGAGCCACGACGCTGGTTGTCGAAAAAAGCAGAACAGAGATGACTAAGAACGATATTTTAGAAAGATGGGATGAGTATAATATACCTGGAAGTGTTTTAGTAGGGTTATTTTTATTCTAAAAAAGCGTAATTCACACAGCTCAGAAGTTCTATGTCCGCCACAGGCTTACAGCCAAACACTCTGCTACAAAGGTTCTAGTAGCGCCCAGCCACTCTGCTATAGCGCACTATTGACTTCACTGATAAAGAACATCATTTTGCACCGTATACTTGTTTTGTTAGGTGTTGATAGAATACATTTGTTGCTTCAATGTTACCAAGCGCTTAGGTGGCTGTTTCTTTTATGAGAAAAAAGTAAAAATAGTGCATCAACTAGTCTCATGTAGCATAAGAGTACATTATTATGCAATATACTCTGCAGACTACGTTAACAATGTTCATACAATGTTTATGGTAAAAGACTTATACTAAGATCATAAGAGCATGCAAAACAATGTTCATACAACTATAACTGATCCAATCGCAAGCCATAGGAATACACATAAAGTCAGTCACCCATGAAAAAACAACCTGACTCCCTAGACACAAAACGGGCAAACATAAGCCTAAAACGATCGAATTAGGGGAAATTACCCTAAATAGGACTAAAAACGTTTGTATATTCCAAAATAGGACTATTGTGTTTTTTCTCTTTAAATAGTAATTACCGCCATGTTTTGGCGGCACAAGCTGATAGAAGCAGAAAAAGAAACCCTAGCAGACGGTGTTAACGACTGCCCAGCCTTAGGCTCAAACCAAATCTTTATTCTCGATAATGAATAATAGTTCACAAGACCTCCTTAAATACTCCTTAACCTAATAATAAAATATGGCCATCTAGGCCCATTAACCTAATAATAAAATATGACCATATAGGCCCAACAGTTTATTAGACATAACAATAGACTGAAATAAAGTAATGAAACCCAGCAGTCAACCCAGCCCAATTAGGTCCACTGACAGCAACCCATAAACTAATAATGGGCGGGGCCCGTCCTCCTGAAGCATTGGCCCGTTTGCCTCCTAGAGCCTCGGCCCATCTGCCTCCCACTCCCTAACAATTTCCTCCCCCTCCAAAACAACCTTGTCCCCAAGGTTGGAGTGAAGAAGCTGCTGCTTGTTTCTCCTTCTGTTCCCCTAGCTGCTCAACCTCTTCGGGCGGGATAAAGATTCAGTTTGATTGAGGTCGAGTTCCTCATCTTCCTCGACAACCATTACTCTTAACTGTTTTTGGGGACATTCATGCGTGGGGGTATAGGGCTTCTTGCAATGGAAACAAAGCCCTTTTGCACGTGGGTCTGCAAATTCCTGCGGTGAGAGGCGTGTGAACCGAGAGCAATTCTCCGACTGGCCAGTCATGGCTGACCCGGACCCCGAGGTACTACCTGGAGATCGCGAGGAAGTTGTGCTTCCTGCTGCCCCTTGGTTTCCAGTAACTGGCGTGGAAGAGAGCCCCGAAAACCCGCCAACTTTGGTGTAATTACTGGAACGGCACTGCTGATTGTCGTATCCCCATTCTGATCTCCCTCCGGACTGTACGGCCAAGTCTTCTTCGATATCTCTTGCTAACTCCATAGCAGCTTCCAAATCAGTTGGGCGTAGGATCCGTAAGGAACTGCGAATGGTGTCCCGTAGCCCTTTCATAAAGTACCCCAAGTAGTGGGCATCACTCAAACCTGGGACCTGACTGGCTAATTGCACGAACAAATTTACATAGTCATCCATGGATCCTGTCTGCTTAACGTCAGCCAACCGTTCGAACGTGCTCCCTTTGAACCGAGTATCAAAACGGGCTACAAGGGCTTGTGAAAACTCCTCCCAAGCTATGCCTGGTTTGCACGACCGTGTCCAAGAAAACCAGTACAAAGCAGGACCCTCCATTGCTACCATGGCTGACGCCACCTTCAACTCAGGTCGGGTCTGATGTATTTCAAACTGCTGATTGGCCCTGGCAAGCCATCCAATCGGGTCTGCCCCCTCAAACGCCGGTAGCGTCAGAGGCGCGGTCACAGACCTAGGATTGTGGGAGTTCTGCGAGTCAGCCGTGCCTCCTCCTCCTCCTGACTAAGAATCAGCCAGCGTCCCCCCCGACGCCATAACCTTCTGCGCCAGTTTGTCTAGGGTTTGCGTGATAGCATCCAACTTGGCGTTGGTGGATTGCAATTCTGCCTTGATGTCCTTCTGGTCTGCTTCTATCGCATCTATGTGTTGATCAATGATGGAACGAGTCATGATGAACGTAGGGCGGTGGATAGGATCCGGCAGGTCGGACCAAATTGATAGAAGCAGAAAAAGAAACCCTATAATATGAAGCAAACGGGGGCAGGAGGACGGCAGGATGGCACGATGGCCGCAGGCAGTGAGGGGGGTGCGATTGAAGAAGAAAACGATCGGCAGGGGGACGCGATCGAAGGGAAACCGGGCCCAGGCCCTTGATTATTTACCAACGGCGAGGACGGGTCGGGCCCACATCCGTGGGCTGAGGCGGCTGAGTTTAATGGCTGATTTATTAAGTTCCTAGTTAATTAATTATTGGGTTTTAGTATATTTCCTAATTCCAGTTTATTTCCTAGTATGTGTTAATTAAGAGTTATTCCTTAACTAGGACTTGTAGTCTATTTAAACCCCTTAAGAGGGTTATTTCAAACTATGCTTTAACAATAAGAATTTGTGTGTTAAGCTTTTAAGCTTTGGCAACGGTTATTTCCGTTGATTGTTATTTTCTGTCTTTATCAATTTGGTCCGACCTGCCGGATCCCGTCCCGCCACAATGACATGATCTCAAAGTGAACGTTTGCAAGAATTGGAGAATGAACAAAGCCGTGTTGGAGAAGAAGTGGCCCGATTGGGGGCCGAACAGATCCGAACGAACCAGACCCTTGACGACCATGGTACGAAGCTCGAATCAATGACCCTGACACTCGGTGAACACGGTGCGAAGCTGGAGGAAATCATGTCTTCGCTGGCCGCAATAACAAAGGCGTTGACACCGCCTAAATCGCCGGCTATCGACGCGGTAGGCGCCAATATCGGCGCGCTAACCGTGCCGACCATCGACGGGGAAGGGCGCAATTCCATGCCGTCACCACTACCCACGTTTGATGGGGGGACCCGATCGGGTGGTTAGCTCGGGTAGAGCAGCAATTCGAGTTACAGGCGATCCCACCGGATCGGAAAGTGGCTGCCGCTATGGTAGCCATGGAAGGAAGGGCGCTTTACTGGATTACATGGCTGAGATCACGCAAACACAATATATGCTGGGAAGATTTCAAACAAGCCCTGGTGACTAGATTTGATTCCCGATACCAGGGAAACCGGTTTGAACGTTTATCCGGAGTCAAGCAAGGAGGAACGGTAGAAGATTACAATACTCTTTTTGTCCAGTTGGCAAGCCAAGTTCCGGGATTATCGGACGATCACTATATGGGATATTATATGAATGGGCTTAAAGAAGAAATTAAATGTTTGTTGCGTTTACTTCGTCCGGATTGCTTAGAAACAGCTATGGAGTTGGCCCTAGGAGTTGAACATAAACTAATCATTCAGAGCGGAGGGAAAGGAGGATCGAGTTACAATTCTATTGGATCACGAAGTAGCAGTTACCCACGGCCAAACCCGGGTTCCCTCTCGGCCACCGCCAGTGGAAGCGCGCAAAATTTTGGGGGCAGCATGTCTCGGCCCACTGGTCCAACAGCGGGTTCCACACCACCAGTCGCTGGGACTACTTCCGGAACATCTGGGCAGCCCACGGAACGGTCCAGATTCACTCGAATACCCCCAAAGGT